TCAAAGATCAGTTGGCTGTAAGCTTTAGGGGTTATTTCCGGGGTCTCTATTCTCTTCCATTGGTCCGCATGTCTGTTTTTATGCCAATACCATGCTGTTTTGATGACCACAGCTTTATAGTATATCTTGGGATCAGGGAGGGATATGCCTCCTACTCCATTCTTCTTGTGTAGAATTGCTTCTGCAATACAAGATTTTTTTATGATTCCAGACAAATTCTATAATTGTCTGTTCTAGATCTGTAAGGAAGATTTCTGGTATTTTGATTGAAATTGCATTAAACATGTAGATTAATTTGGGTAGAACTGCCATTTTTATTATTTTAATCCTTCCAATCCAGGAGCATGGGATGTCCTTCCACTTTTTTATGTCACTTTCAATATCTTTTTTAAGATTTTCATAGTTTTCTTTATAAAGGTCTTTGACTTTCTTAGGTTTATCCCTAGGTATCTTATACATCTTGTGGCTATGGTGAAAGGGATTCCTTTCTTCAGCTCTGCTTCGTTCAACTTGTTCATAAATAGAAATGCTATAGATTTTTGGATATTGATTTTATATCCTGCCACTTTACTGTATTCACTTATTAATTCAAGAAAATTTTTCATGGATGCCTTTGGGTCTTCTAAGTATACCATCATGTCATCTGCAAATAAAGATATTTTCAACTCTTCTTTGCCTATTCAAATGCCTTTAATATTGTTCTCTTCTCTGATTGCAATAGCTAAGACTTCCAGTACTATATTAAAGAGCAGTAGAGAAAGTGGGCAGCCTTGCCTAGTACCTGTTTTCAGAGGAAAAGCTTTCAGCTTTTCCCCATTCAATATAATGTTAGCTGTAGGTTTTTCATAGATTGTTTTTATTGTGTTAAGAAATGACCCTTCTATACCAATCTTACTTACTTACATTTTTCATAGTATACATTTTCCATTATCTTTTTTTAGAAGGAATCATTTTATTTAACTTTATTTATTTATTTATTTAAATTTGACCAGAGAGGGACAGAGTGAGAAAGAGAGGGAAAGTGAGAAAGCAAGTCACCAGGTCCAGAACTCGAACCATGGTCGGCCATGTGGAAGTCCAGCACCCTTAACCACTGTGCCACCTGCCTGCCCCTCCATTATCTTTTTGAGGACTTGTGTATACAGTGGCTGCAAATGCAGACACTTTTGGGGTTCAAATGAATGTCAGAAAAGCAACAATGCAAACCTAATGAGAAGTGGTGACTGACACTGCCTCAGCATTTGAAGGACATGAAGCAGCTGTAATAAACTGAAACAGACTTAATAGACCAAA